ATGACTGAAAATTGCGAAAATTCCTGAAAATTGCAAAAATCGCGAAAATTCCTGAAAATTGCAAAAATTCCTGAAAATTGCGAAAATCGTAAAAACTCCTGAAAATTGCGGAAGTTCCTGAAAATTGCAAAAATCGCAAAATTCCTGAAAATTGCAAAAATCCCAAAAATTACTGAAAATCGCAAAAACTCCTGAAAATTGCAAAAATCGCAAAATTCCTGAAAATTGCAAAAATCGCAAAAATTCCTGAAAATTGCAAAAATTGCAAAAATGCTTGAAAATTGCAAAAATCGCAAAAACGCCTGGAAATTGAAAAAATCGCAAAAATGCCTGAAAATTGCAAAAATTGCAAAAATTCCTGAAAATTGTGAAAATTCCTGAAAATTGAAAAAATTCCTGAAAATTGAAAAAATCACAAAAATGCCTGAAAATTGCAGAAATTGCAGAAATTCATGAAAATCGCAAAAATGCCTGAAAATTGCAAAAATTCCTGAAAATTGCAAAAATCGCGAAAATTCCTGAAAATTGCAAAAATCGCAAGAATGCCTGAAAATTTCAAAAATTCCTGAAAATTGCAAAAATCCCAAAAATTACTGAAAATCGCAAAAACTCCTGAAAATTGCAGAAATCGCAAAATTCCTGAAAATTGCAAAAATCGCAAAAATTCCTGAAAATTGCAAAAATTGCAAAAATGCTTGAAAATTGCAAAAATCGCAAAAACGCCTGGAAATTGAAAAAATCGCAAAAATGCCTGAAAATTGCAAAAATTGCAAAAATTCCTGAAAATTGTAAAAATTCCTGAAAATTGTGAAAATTCCTGAAAATTGAAAAAATTCCTGAAAATTGTGAAAATTCCTGAAAATTGAAAAATTCACAAAAATGCCTGAAAATTGCAGAAATTGCAGAAATTCCTGAAAATCGCAAAAATTCCTGAAAATTGCGAAAATCGTAAAAACTCCTGAAAATTGCGGAAGTTCCTGAAAATTGCAAAAATCGCAAAATTCCTGAAAATTGCAAAAATCGCAAAAATTCCTGAAAATTGCAAAAATGCTTGAAAATTGAAAAAATCGCAAAAACGCCTGAAAATTGAAAAAATCGCAAAAATGTCTGAAAATTGCAGAAATAGCAAAAATTCCTGAAAATTGCGTAAATCGCAAAAATGCTTGAAAATTGCGAAAATCGCGAAAATTCCTGAAAATTGCAAAAATCGCAAGAATTCCTGAAAATTGCAAAAATCGCAAAAATTCCTGAAAATTGCAAAAATCGCAAAAATGCCTGAAAATTGCAAAATTCCTGAAAATTACAAAAATTGCAAAAATAGCTGAAAATTGCAATAATTACAAAAATCGCAAAAATTCCTGAAAATTGCAAAAATCGCAAAAATGCCTGAAAATTGCAGAAATCGCAAAAATTCCTGAAAATTGCAAAAATTGCAAAAATGCTTGAAAATTGCAAAAATCGCAAAAATGCCTGAAAATTGAAAAAATCGCAAAAATGACTGAAAATTGCGAAAATTCCTGAAAATTGCAAAAATCGCGAAAATTCCTGAAAATTGCAAAAATCGCAAAAATTCCTGAAAATTGCAAAAATCGCAAGAATGCCTGAAAATTTCAAAAATTCCTGAAAATTGCAGAAAGTATTTTAATTAATGGAAATCGAGCGTCCTCAAATGGGTTGATTCCGTCCTGCTGGAAGGACGCTGTACATTTTATCATTAAGCTCTCATCAGCTCTTTGGGTTAGTTATACACTCTCGCGAAATACACAATTTTCCGCTTCCAGGTCGAATTCGACAACCGAGCGGCCGCCCTCGACCCGGCCAATGGCAGCGCAGCACACGCGGGCAGCGGCCTCGCGGCCGACGACTCCGACGAGGCCGATCAGCTGCGCCGGTCGGCCAAACGCAAGACGCTCGGCAACATCAAGTTCATCGGCGAGCTGGGCAAGCTCGAGATCCTGTCGGAGGCCATCTTGCATCGGTGCATACAGGAGTTGCTGGTCAGGAGCGGCGACGATCCGGCCGAGGACCTCGAGTGTCTCTGTCAGATTCTGCGGACGTGCGGCCGTATCTTGGACACCGATAAGGGTGAGTCGATCTACGGATTGTCTTGGATTTGGTTCAATACAACACCAAAGACCTGCATCATCCAAAAATTTCTGCATTCAAAATTTCCAGTCGTTATAATTCGTTCTATCTGAATGTTTGCCCTCAGATAGACCACCAACTGAATTAGAAATAACGGTAGTAGTTGATCTACTAGTACTTCTCTGTTTTAATTGGACTTTGAGTTCGTTTATTTGAACAGCTAGCCTTTGGAGATCCTCCATTGAATTTGATTCTCAAGAGAAAAAAAAACTTGTTTCTTGATAGGTGTCAGAATATTTTTGTTGATATTCCTGGTTCCTGGGTATTCCTGGGCCCATAACCTGTTAGCAGAGTGTTTCAGGATTGCTAATAAGGAAAAATCTAAAATATACATTCTGATATAAAAAATACAACTTGGGATGAACGTTATTTATTAGCAACTAATAAAAACAGTCTGTTTTATATACATATTACATAACTGATTTCTCCAACAGTCAACTTGCACATTTGCCCGCTTTGACACAAAATTTAACAAGAACAGCGCCAAACTTCGTCGAGACCGACACTGATAAGGGCGAGTCGAGTCGCGCAATTCACACACTGACAACCAAGTACAGTGATTTTGTTGGCTCCGAATCAGGTTTATCAAGAGAACTAGCATTGTTCTTTGTTGATATTATAGTCCATGAAAGTTGAACGAAAGTAGCGCCGGACCTCGGAATTTGGTGGGGAAAAGTGCATCTATATCTAAGTCTACATGTACCGCACGGATATTGCAGTTATTGGTTGGAGTAGCATTTTCACGGCGGTGTCCTATCTCGCTGACTCGGTAGGATTCTAGGTGTCTTCAAGATGCTACTTCTCCATCTGCTGAGGAAATTTTTTTCATAGGACGAACAAAGCTGATGGATCTTGGGGTTTCTCAGGGTGCTTCTTCTTGGGATGTGTTAGATGCGAATCTGTACCATAAGGGCTTCTATGATGACTGTGGCGATGATGATCAACGGTGTTGTCCAGAAGTAGTTAGTGTTTGTCTGTTCATATGCCTGGGGTTGAAATTGTTGGTCATGTTGATTCTTAAACTAGTGGAGTTCGTAGGGAGGAACTTTCTCTCGAGGTGGATTGTGCCGTTACCACCGATAAAACAAGGCCAGCAGACTCTGACGTAAACAGCTCGTGACGTCGCATACTCAGGCCATCTTCCAAGGCCTTCGCGTCGATCGATCGTCAGTTTGTTTTTGTTTAAGAACGGTGGCGTAGTTAAATCGCGTGTGTGCTCGAATTCTCTCGTTGTTTATTCATCAAAATAATTGGCGGAGAAATTACTGTTTTGTGAAATATTTCGTGTTGTGATAGGCGAAATAACAATGCCTTACAAGTGTTGTGTTCCCTTTTGTCGGGGGAATTATGTGGGTGGTCCAAAAGTTCATGCTTTTAGTTTCCCGTTGGACAAGGAACTATCGAAAAAGGATTTTACGACTCCATCTAAGTACAGTAAAGATGTGAATTACATTTTACTAAAGATGATATTATTACTTCATCTACTGCAACGGATTCAAAAACTGGCGAAACTGTAACAATAGATTTGAAAATTCCTAGGCTCAAACGAGATGTTATTCCCACTCAATTTCCCAACTGTCCATCTTATTTATCGAAAGATGTAAAATTACGCACAAGTCGTGATGAAAAACTTGAAATACTAGAGACTAAAAATTTGGCACAAGCACTTACCAAAAGTAAAACTGAATTCGAAAATTACCAAAAATCATTTTGCTACACAGAATTTCTAGTTGTATTAGAGTCTTCTCAGTTGCCCGAAAAGTGGTTCAAAATTATCGATTTGCAAAAAGTCACATTATTCAAATTGTCTTATTCTCCAGGGCCCTTAATTACATATTCGGTTGTGATTGATTTTGTTTTGAATGTGGAATCATTTTTGTATGACCTGGCGATACAAACATCTCTAAAAGCCAATCTGAAAACACCTTTTATCTCTAATAATATCAATCAAATCAAGGAATTACTAATTGAAATAGATAAAAACGAGATACATAATTCGGGAAAATGTCTTGATAATCAGAAAAAGAGGGTTTTGAAACATATTTCGAATGCATTGGACTCTTTGGTTTCTCACTCAATACATTCTCGAATTTCTTTCTGAAAACGGTCATTTGCCTCGTGGCAATGAATGCAGAATTCATTCCAATGATCAAATTGCAACTATTATATTAACATGTACTACAAACACTCTACTTAAAAATTACTGTTTCAAGTCTAACGACCAATTGGGTAAAAAATCTGTCAGTGCAATCGACTAAGATGGTTTTGACTTCCGGCAATGTCAGTGGCTGTTCTTGAGTATCGTCTCTGCTGTTGACGTAATCGTCTTGGTCTGTATGGAATCCGCATCCAGGTGGTAGTTTTAGTAAGTAGAGTGACAACATTGGAATTTTTGGCGGATTCGACGGTGAGGTGGGCGAGCTCGAGATCCTGTCGAAGGCCATCTAGGGTGAGCGGAGTTGCGCAATTTTCCCGCTGACCTATGAACAACAAATGAAAGGGTTCTTTTGGTGAACGTAAACCGGTGCCAGCAAAATCTGTATAGTATTTGCAAAGTTACTTGAGACACGGAAAAACAATTTAGCCAGCCACGACAAATACTTTGAGAATCCGGCAGAGGAGAATAATATTTTGATTCCATACCACAAAAAAAAGGTGTTTTAAAAAAAATCTTAGATTATCCAGACAAAATAGAATGATAATTGTCAACAAATACATTTCACATTCCGGTCGTCAAATATGAGATGACCAAGTAGCTGTACCCTCCATAAAGCCCACTTTAAAAATTAACTACAATTTTTATAATATTCGAATTGTAACCATGCGATTGCCTTTTTTTCACTTCCACAAATATCTTCAATAATGCTGCTTCTGATGGACTATTGATAGCCCGAAATATGTTCAGATGTTCCTGATGTGTACTAATAAATTTGTGGAGATGGCTTAGAGTGACTTGTTTTTGAAACTTATTTACTCAACTTTTAGAAAATATGGACATTTACCATAAATTATAACATTGTTGTTGAGTATTATGTTCTGTCTTGTTTGTTACAGGAACGTTTCTGGTGTCGCATCAACTTAGGACTTCATTTTCAATATTTCGGTGCATATTTATATTGTTGGTTTTTCCGTGTTTCAGGTAAATACCTCATGGACCAATACTTTTCAAGGATGAAATTGCTGGCTGAAAACCAAGATTTACAGTCGAGAATAAGATTCATGTTGAAAGACGTGATCGATCTAAGACATGGTGGATGGGTGCCAAGAAAGGCTACCGTCTTAGAAGGTAGGTGAAGTGATCCTTTGAATCATTTAAAGTTTTTTCTCTATATCATTTAGTTCAGCTATTACTCATATATTTCTTTGCTTAAGCTTGCTTGAGGTCTATGTCAATCCTAAAAAATTATTAAAATTTTGCCTTTTTTCCGAAAATTTGCATTTGTGTCCTCTGTGAATTAACATGAAAACTAAAGTTATGGTTAGGCTTGGGCAGGTTTGGGTTTCTTACTCTCAAATGAGAAATAAAAATGTTAAATATATCCTACAGTCCATGCCAGATGAAATGAGAGGAAACATATTTTATGTCATGCAAGTCCTCAATTCCCAGTAGAAAAATCTTGTGGGCAATCAAATCATGTCTTTCAATTACAGTACCTTTGTGAGAAGTTATTTCACCTAATAAACTCCTAGCAGGTTGGAGTTCTAGAAGATGGGTTACAGTCACTTGCACACCATAATCATACGGGTGTCCCATAAGTGGAGGATCAAAAGAAGTGGGGTGGTAGGGGGGGGGGGTCATTTCAAATCAAACTAATCGTATTTGTGGTTATCCAATTGTTGATGGTTCAGAAGTTATTAACGTTTTTTCATTACTATAAAAAGAATTGATTACAATAAAACTATGACACATTTGTGATTTTCTCTTTCACAAATTTCATCCATATGGATGCACCTTTCACCAGAAATAATTCCATAACATATATTAATTCTCATCAATTACCTGAGAAAAATGGTGTTTTCCGTGAGTTTTGGCATCCATTGAAATATTCAAGTCGATTTTCAAATGCCGCTGGTAGATTTAAAACTACCCTACGGAGATAACCAATCATATGAAAAAGTTGCCCATTCAATACAAACATGGGGTTATTCAAAACAGCCTTTTTGTTATAAATTTTTTTCGGATGGGTCGCATTTTTCAGAAAAGTTTTATAACTTTTGAACCATCAACAATTTGATAACAACATATTATACCGTTAGTTTGAATACAAATGACCTCCCCCCTACCACCCCACTTCTTTTGATCCATTACTAATGGGACACCCTGTATAGGGGGGCACAAAATGACCTTCATTCGTTATGATTTGAATTTTCACATTTTATTTTCTATAAAGAATTGTATTTCCCCATTTGAATTGATGTATTTTACTTGTAAAATCAACAGGAATTGAAGAAATCGCGAAAAACCTAGACTGACGATTGGATAAAATTAATACAAAACGTCATTTTTGTCGATGAGGCATAAAAATATTAAATAATAGCTTTTCCCCGCGACTTTGCTAGTATTCTATTATTCTGGTTAATTCCGTTTTCTTGCACAACCATTCTATTCTATTCAACAGGTAATCAACGAAACGCACCAAATGCGTGTATGTTTCCTTCTTACTCTCATGTGTTGAACAGAGTTAAATATACACTCAATAAATAAAAAACCCCAGTTCCTGTCATTGGAATTTGCTATCAGAAAAATATGCGTAACTTGTATTAAACACGCCAATACATCATTGTCACATTTATTTCCATAATTTATTTAAATTTTATGTAGTGATGAAATTAATGAAATTAGGGAACTGAGAGTATTCCTTTTCAATAGGGAACTTAAATTCAGCAAAATTCACAAGGAACAAACGTACAGAATAAATAAGAAAGATAATGTTATTGCCACATCACAATTAACAGACATTGAAATAGGTGTACCTCAGGGCAGCATTACTGGCCCAATACTTTTCATAGTATATCTCAATGATGTGTGTGATGTCCTGACACCATACTCTGATTGTGAAATGGTTAACTATGCTGATGATACAAATATTTTGATTGAAGGAAGAACATTTCAACCTATATTAGACAACTCTAACTTAATGTTCAAGTTAATAAATGAGTGGTTTTCAGAAAATAAACAATTTGTAAATGAAGAAAAAACAAATGTTGTTATATTTACAACTAGACATGCAAACCAGGCAGTGCCTAGTAATATTGTGTTGAATAATAAAGAGATGGAAATAGCACCTAGTACCAAATTCTTAGGAATCCATATAGACCGTTACCTTAACTGGAATGTCCACACTAATGATTTAGCTAGCAAATTAAGTAAAGTGTGCTATGCGATAAGAATACTATCCAAGCATCTGAATTCTAGTTTCCTTAAAGTTGTGTATCATGCTAACTTTGAATCAATCTTCAGATATGGTATATTATTCTATGGCGGTAGTAGTTCTATAGACCACTTATTTATTATTCAGAAAAGGGTTGTACGAATTATGTACAAATTAAATTATAGAGAATCATGTAGGAGGAAGTTTTGTTCAGCTAAAATATTAACAATTGTTGCTGTGTATATTCAGGAATGTCTCTTGTTTTTAACTAAGAATCGGAAATTTTTTTCTGATTATGTACCCCAAATTGTCTATAACACTAGAAACATAAATTATAATTATCCTGCACATAGATTGGCGGTAACAGAAAAAAATGCTTCATATAATTCAATCAAATTTTTCAACAAGTTACCAGAAAGAATTAAGTCTCTTTCCTCTCCAAACGTTTTCAAAAAAGAAATATGGAAACTTCTAATAAACTTGGAGCCCCACTCCATAAGTGATTACCTTCAGGCAAACTTAGAATAAATTGTTTGGTCAGTATTTTTATCTATTTTATGATTCTATTTGTACTATACATTTGTGTGGTTTTATAGTAGCCTATATTGTGTGACGCCCGTTTGTTTCTACAACCTTTTACAAGTCTAGTTTTCTGCTGAAAACGATGTTGGATCGGCACAAAATGTACCCAATTTCGTCTCCCCTCTTTTTATATATGTCCATGATCCGACCCGATCCGCAGGTCCGATGCCCATGAACCAAATCCGACCGGCCGAAGACGACCGGCCCCACCACGCTTCGTATCGGCGCGGCGGCGACCACGGCGGCGGCGGCCGTCACAACGACAGGGACGGCGACCGCGACCGTCGCGGCGGCGACCATCGATCGGCGGCCGAGCTGTTCCGGCACCCGCTCAAGACCAGGGACGGCATCAACGACATGCTGATGATGAGCGGCGGGCTGTCGGGGTCGCCGGGGTCGCTCATCTCGGGAGGTGGCGGCGGAGGAGGCGGTGGAGGTACGAACAACTCGAATAGCTCGCCCTTCGGAGGTGTGTGAGAGAGAGAGAAAGAGAGAGAGAAAGCGAGAGAGAGAGCGAGAGAGAGAGAGCGCGAGAGAGAGAGAGCGAGAGAGAGAGAGAGAGAGAGAGAGAGAGAGAGAGAGAGAGATCAAAATAGCGCTTTCGGCTAAAAAGTCATCATCAGTGCTATACTCGTCAAGTATTTACAAAAAGGTCCAAAAATTCGAGATCAAAGACATCATTACGGTACAAACGGAATTAGGAACAAACATACATTTAACAAAAAAGTTCCCTAATGGATTATCGTAAAATTTTCCGAAAATACATTTTAGAATTTTTGTTTAGTTCAGGTCCTGGAAGAGCACGAGGGACCTTAACTTTTATAAGTTTGACGAATATGTGACAAAAAATGCCCCTGTATGGGAATTATTATATACAGTGTGTCCCACTTACCATGCTCACCATGGGTATCTTTTTAACGGTGAGAGATACGAGGTCGGTTAAATGACACCAAATGTGGAGTTTGTCAAGGCCAACTATAATGTGAACAAATATTTTGATAAAATCTATTCGTTTTTGTTTTATACGCAAAAAACAGATTTTGATCATTTTCATGTCTCCTCCGTAACTTCTTTATTTATGAAAATATTCAATTAGGAATTTCACATTCTCATGGCAGTTTTTCGAAGTGATTTCGAAAAAAATATGAAATTCATACCAACTCTTCTAGAATTTGTGATATCAGCACCAACTTTAGTTTTTCAAATGTAGGTCATAGCTCACAATGATTTAGTTACAAATAACTTTTTTTTCTCCCACAGATGATATGTCGCAGTAATAGTTTTGTGTTGATAACAACGGAGTTATCGTCATTTATACAAAAACAAAAAAATATTTGGAAGCCGCCATCTTGAATTTATACATTTTAACAAAAAAATCATGATCTCTGACCTCAAAAACCCACACTCACCAATTTTGAATGGAATCGGACCAAATCTTGTCCGCCATCTTGGAGCAGCCATTTTTTTTAATTGATGGTAGACAAGATTTGGTCCGATTCCATTCAAAATTGATAAGTGGGGGTTTTTGAGGTCGGAGATCATGATTTTTTTGTTAAAATTTATAAATTCAAGATGGCAGCTTCCAAATAATTTTTTGTTTTTGTATTAATGACGATAACTCCGTTGTTATCAACACAAAACTATTACTGCGACATATCATCTGTAAAAGAAAAAAGTTATTTGTAACTAAGTCATAGTGAGCTATGACCTACATTTGATAAACTAAAGTTGGTGCTGATATCTTAAATTCTAGAAGAGTTGGTATAAATTTCATATTTTTTTCGAAATCACTTTGAAAAACTGCCATGAGAATGTGAAATTCCTATTTGAATATTTTCATAAATAAAGAAGTTACGGAGGAGACATGAAAATGATCAAAATATGTTTTTTTGCGTATAAAACAAAAACGAATAGATTTTTCAAAATATTTTTTCACATTTTAGTTGGCCTTGACAAACTCCACATTTGGTAGCATTTAACCGACCTCGTATCTCTCACCGTTAAAAAGATACCCATGGTGAGCATGGTAAGTGGGACACACTGTATATATTATGGGTGAATGAATACGATGTTTTTGTTTGTTATGGATTGATTAAGATTAGTGTTTTCTATAATAGCCGAAGTACCACGTGGACGAATAAAGTTCCAGCTCCTACTCCTGGCGTATTCTTAACTCTACCTAACCCCCCAAAAACCCGCCTCAGCTCACACTTCTGGGGATGATTTGCGCAGAACAAAGATTGAACAAGATGGCGAATTGAACTGAAACAAATTCGCCAGAAGAAGTTATTCATTTAGTAGAAAGTCTCATTAGACTAATTGAAATAGTACACTTTGTTAAAATTTAAAATGACTTCTTGCTAGATTATATGAAACTTCACATCAAAATTATGTGCCACCAACAATCACTTTATATGAAAGTAGCGAAATGATGAAGTTGAAAAACTAAAAAATTTAAAATGACATCTTGCTAGATTATATGAAACTTCACATCAAAATTATGTGTCACCAACAATCACTTTATATGAAAGTAGCGAAATGATGAAGTTGAAAATAGTTATTTGTTTAACTAGGCAGCAAAGTAGTAGATTGACTGCCGTGGCTGAATTCATAGCCGAGCGTAGCGAGGCTAGGAATCCAGCTAAGGCAGTCAATCTACTTTGCTGCCGAGTTGAACATATAATTTTTTCTCCGATTGTTCATAATGATATGGGAGAATATTGTATTTGCGAATTAATACAATTCCCACAATCTCTTTATTCTTCCTGTATAGTGTTCAATTAAAATAAAATTTGATAGAAATCGCAGTTGTTGGTTTGACAATTCATTAAATTTCTGACAGTTGTGCGAAAAAATATCGGTATATTTAAATCATTATATAATGGACAGTGATAGCCACCTGGAAGTATACTGACACCTCCATTAATAAGGGAGGTGGCAAAAAATATAGAGTTGAATTTGTTGCCGGAGAAGTCTCGGATGAAATATGAAGGAAATTATAAACGATTTATGGATTTTTAATTTTGCTGATACATATCAATCAGCAAAGTAACCACTTTGCTGCCTAGGCAGGAAAAGTAATACTTTGCTGATTGATATGTATCAGCAAAATTAATATTTGCTGCCAATCGGAGGAAAACTAATTGATAATCAAATTAGGAGGGCACAACGGATACAGTGGTGGACAAAGGGATGGTGGGTTCAGAGGTCATAATAACCAGAGGAGCGGTGGTGGTGGAGGCGGCGGTTTCAACAATTTCACCAGTCAGCGAGGGCAGTACAAGCACAACCAGAACAATTCCAATTCGCAGTTCAACCGTAAGTTTTTTGTTTTTTGAACAATTCAATATTAGTTTATACATTTTCTGATGTTACTTTTGTCTTTATACCGGCTGATTTTCCAAGGTGACTCACTCCTATAACTTTTTTATTATTGAAGGTAGTCAAACGAAATTTGGGGGTTGTAAATGATAGTGCAATAGGTCGCGTGCAAGAACTGTCAGATGACCGACCCTGGAGGCAAAACATATTTGTTTACAAGTGATCCAAATAGTTTTCCACAATTATTTTGGCATATGAATCGTATTTTTCCGCCATTCATTAATTCGCTCATGCCATCACTTTGTGCTGTTGTAAAATGCACAAAAACTGCAGCGGAAGATGAAGAAATCCGGATGGTAAATTATGATTCAAAAGTAAGTACCTACTATAATAGTCACTCACGTATAGTTTTCATTTTTGAAATTTGGTTATTTCTCTGATTTCTCATCGGAATTCCTTCTGCAATAGGATCAGCTTATAGAAATATACCTGAAATTTCTAGAATAATGCAAGAAGATTGGATTCATGCAATCAATCGGTAGGACTGGTCTGACATGCTGACGATCGTGTGTGTTGTAGACATTTTCAATCTATTAGCAGCATAAGCTTGTATTGCAGAAGTGGCAGAAGGAATTTTAATAAGGAATGACAACATTTCATAATGCTAACTATGTGAGATTACTATTTACCTGAAAAATCATAGTCCCTAGTCTCTTGCTGCATTTTTTGTGCATTGTACAACAGCACAATGCGAAGGCATGCTTGAATTAATGAATAACGCAAGAAACACGATTCGTATGCCAAAATATTATGAAAAACTATTTCAACCTTTTGATTCTTCTGTAAACAAATGAAAAAGTGAGGTTGTGTTTCAATAATTCACAGAAGAATGAGGTTGTGTTTCAATATTTTGCCTCCAGGGTCGGTCTTCGTGCACGCGACCTATTGACATTATTTGACGTACTTCCGCTTTGACAAGGAATGACCCAAACTTCCGATTTTTAAATTTGACACCCTGTTTTTTATTCCATAATCGGTTAGGGGTAATCATAACGAATTTAACGATACCGGGTTTGATAGGGTTACTACACACGATTACAAATATATTTGAATTCGAAGTTTCCATGTGGCCAATGGGTGTGACGGTGCAATATCAAAACTTCTTTCTTTGTCACACTCATTGAGCATATAGAAACTTTGAATGCGAATATCTTCGTAATCGTTCGAAATAAACTATCAAGCCAGGTATCCTTGGATTTGTTCTGATAATCCCTAACCGATCGTGGAATGAAATACAGGGTGTCTCATTTAAAAATCTACAGTTGAGGTCATTTCCAGACAAACCGGAGGTACGTCAAAGCAAATAGATATGTCGTCAAAAGGTGTCAATTGACTATAATCCACATCGAAAATTTCACACCTAACATTATCGGCCATTTAAGAGCTTGTATTTCGTAAGATCAACTAAACAAATTTCTGGAAATCGTTTCCTACTTTGAAGAAGGAGCATGAAATCATACTGGAAATTGTTTGGCGTTTATAGGTAAAATGACATTTACATTTTACTTCAGATTACGTGGAATGCATTCTATAATGATGAGTTCCTTGTAAGAAAGTATATTTCTACCAATTTCAGCGGAATTAATTTGGAGAAAACTGGATTGAGCTACTATGGAATATTTTTTTATTATTTCTAATAATATCATTTGTGGAAATTTCATTGATTCTTTTTCTTGTGAGAAAATATAAAATGAATTTGTGAAAAACTGAGAAATTGAGATAGCTATATTGACTTATTTTTCATTATTTAGTGTAACTTGAGTGAGTTAACAGTGTTCTTTCAACCTAGCAATGTTTCAGATATAAATTATATCAATACCTCATACTGTCGAGTTCCATGTAACAAAATATATTTCCACCAACTTTAATGGAATAAAGTTAGTCAAGAATAATAGTTTGAACAACCACCAGCTGGCTTATCAATATTCTGCGTATCCAAAGTCGATATTTCGTATTCTATTTAACGTAATCCTTCTATTTTTTCAAATTTCGGTGTGAAATTTCACCGAATACTACTCTAGCTTCAATAGAAAGCCGGAAATTATTCCTCAAACACGAATATTTAGAAAATTCTCCCTCTCTGGAAGATTTTCAAAATATTCGTGTTCTCCAAAAAATTTCCGGTGATGATTGAAGCTCGTGGTATTCATTATAAGTGAAAACACACATCACACACACACACCTCTCCTCCTTCCAGAAAGCAACAAGGACGTGGCGCCGCGCTTCAAGAAGAACAACCTCATCGTGACGAAGGACGAAATCGCCGACGTCGAGCTGCGACCCAACTCGATGCTGATCACGAAGGCGTCCTCGCTGAAGACCAACAACAACAGGACGATCGAGCAGCAATTCGCCGCCCAACAGCTGGGCGGCGTGAAGATGCCGCCCGCGGCGCTGCTCAAGGAACCGCTGCCCGTCAAGCAGGTGCCCGCCGAGAAGCCGAAGCAGTCCAAGAAGGATAAGGTGGGTGGATAGGCGAGAACACACATGCGTGAATTCAATTCAATTTAGAATAGAATGGAATATTTATTGCAGCATAAAAGGTCAGACAAAATACAATGCATAACGCTCGTCAGCCTAGTCTAAATACATGCATTGGTACATACATAAGGGCAATAAAATATAATCACAAATTATTCATTACTAAACTGGGCGTCAATTGAAACGTTAATAGTGAAATTTGGCATCAAGTTTGACTTCTCGTAATTTCTAAAATATTGAACGAATTTTGAATTGCCGCCCAGATTCTGAATGCCTTTTTCATCGTCTTTCGAACCGTTCCTTACAGCTTCTTCTAAATTGATCAGGACCCGTGATACAGGGTGAAACAAAGTTTCGTGCATTTTGAAGAAAATTTCTCCGCCCCCTCCCCCCCCCCCCCTCCCATTTTGTCAGAAGACCACGATGCTAATATTTTATTCGGGCATTTCATAAATAGCAACCACACCTCGGGACGTTTTCGAGTTTCTGCCAAAAACTACTGTGGTTTCCGAAAAAAATTTTTTTTTTTGCATTTTTTTTAAATGGACTAATTTTAGAGAAGTTCCATATATGGATGCTTGTATGCATTTCAGGAAATCGTTGGAGCAGATATGTATACCAGGTTACTCAAAAACAATCAATAATTTATTACTTCGCAGTCTATGATGAAAGTTGTCTACCTTAGTGAGCAGTAAATCATCACATCTCATCAACAAATACAAACAAGGATACCTTGTTTTTATAACAGTGTATTGTTGAAACAATGTAGGTATGCATAGAGGTTATATCAATTGCCAATTTCCATGAAAACGTCAGTGTAATTCGGGTCCTAAAAAATTTAAAGATGCCTCGTTCAAATCGGGTCGAAATGGAAAATATCATTAGGTAAGATCACTATAGTGATATAAACTATAATTCAGTACAGATAATTATTATTTCAGGTTACGACGATTAGGATATACCCAAACTCATTTAAGTACCATTTTCAATAAATCAGTCATGACAATAAAGAGACTGATTCATCGTTTTGGTGATACAGGTTATTAGTCCATTAAAAAAAATGCAAAAAGATTTTTTTTTCGGAAACCACAGTAGTTTTTGGCAAAAACTCGAAAACATCCCGAGGCATGGTTGCTATTTATGAAATGCCTGAATAAAATATGAGCATCGTGGTCTTCCGACAAAATGGGGGGGCAGAGAATTTTTTTTCAAAATGCACGTAACTTTGTTTCACCCTGTATCATGGATCCTGATCAATTCAGATAAAGCTGTAAGGAACGGTTCGAGAGACGATGAAAAAGGCATTCAGAATCTGGGCGGCAATTCAAAATTCGTTCAATATTTTAGAAATTAAAAGAAGTCAAACTTGATGCCAAATTTCACTATTAACGTTTCAATTGACGCCCAGTTTACTATACATTCACAAACAGATTGAATGAAATTTCAAGAACAAATACTGAGGAACTGTTCTACTGTATAGAAGGCATTTTCAAGCAAAAAATTTTTGAGTTCTCTTTGGAATAGCTCATCCCTGTTTTCATAATTCATGTGTATTCATTTGAATTTATTGTACATTTTAATTCCTATGTAATTAGGTGAATTTTGGCAGGAAGGATGTTATTCATAACAGTTACCTTCCAATTAGTGATTGATAATGTATTATCACCTTCTTTCAATAGTTAGATTTAACTTATAGGAAGGAAGGATTTTATTGTTTTTTTCATGCTTTTCAGGGCCCGAACAAGGAAGAGGTTTTGAAGAAGTTCTGTTCGTTGATCGACGAATATTGGAAAGGGGAAATAGATCTCAAACAGGCAATTAACTCCTATAAAGAGCACAAAGTTCCTGACAAGTTCGGCAAAGAGGTGATCCTCAAAGGTCTTACAGTGGCTCTGGATAAGTCTGGTGAGTCAAACAACACAGTAAAATCCCACAAAATATATTATTTCAACATTTATAAGGATATGCAAATTCAAACAAAAAGAGTATAATTTTTACTTTGTAATATAATTTTAATTTGATTTTTCCATAAAACATTGAAATGTCGGCACAATACATGCGGAAGTGTCTATTAACTTTCTTTCATCAGATTCATCCGATTAAATTATGGTTTCCGTAAACTTCGAATCAACAAGTTTGATTAATATACACGAAATTGATCGTTAATGACCCCCCCCCCCCCCCCATTAACGATCATTTTGGCCTAAACATATTCCAAAATCTCTTTGGCGACGAAGAAAATAAACCCAAATTCAAAGATGAGCTATCAGCATATTTCCTAAACAATGCATTTTATTGTAAAGATGAATTTTTAGCAATGTGAATAATCTTAAATAACTGTAATGAATTGTGTCAATTGTGTATACCTACCTGTATTAACTAGTGATGTTGATGAATAACTATTGTACTACCTACTTATTTTAATTGTATATTTCAAACTTGACTAGTCAAATGATCTTTTCGTATATTTTATAATTCTCATAATCTGTACATCGAAAATTCTTTTCAACGTTTCTAAACCGATTTTTATCCCTTTTTTTGAAAGGAATATATCTTCCATGTTGATTATGACAAATGTCACTAATGTCAGTGACAAGCTGACTTCCATTGCTACTGGGTGATTGCTAGTAGTTCCCGGATGAATAATGAATTTGCGATTGTCTCCATTGCAGGAAAAATATAACTGACAGAAAAAAACAAAGTAACTGTATATTTATAAGGCGATTAATAATCTCGAACATTAATCGTCTTCAATAATACACTAGTCAATTGAATAACCTATTCGATATATAACCATTTGGCGCCCAACGGGGGGTACGAGAAGAAGCGATGCACATTTTGGCGCACCGTTCCCACCGATTGTTATTTCCTCTCTTTTTTTCCAAGACGTGGAACAGGAGAAGCTGATCCGGCTGCTGAGCAACCTGCGCGAAGACAACCTCACCGGCGCCGCGGCGACGCAGGACGCTTTCAAGTCGCTCTGTCACGTGCTCGAGCGACGCGACAACGAAGCGGACAAGGCGTCGGCGTCCGTGCTGCTCGCGACGGCCGTCTGCGAGCACCTGGTGCCGCTGTCGGACGTCGCGGCGCTGACAGAGAACGGCCAGCACTATCCGCTGTTCCTGCTCGTGCTGCAGCACGTCTACAAGAAGCGCGGCAAGAGCGAGCTGTCGGAGTTGTTCAACAAGAGCAAGGTTGGTGGATCTGAGATTATTATTCATTTATTGAATCAAGTAAAATCTACATTTTGTCATCGAATATCAATTACATGTATATACAGGGTGATCGACGGTGGATGGCCCATTAGAAGTATCTGGAGAACGAAGAGACAGAACATTGGGATAATTTGATAATTGAACATTCTCTATTTCTCTAAAATATTTTCATTGATAGTGTTACCACTTCTATCAGCAACAACTAGCAACTTCGTTATTTCAAATAGAGCACCCTGAATTTTATTGCATTTTTAGATTCTTCCTGAAGAGCTGATTTCATCAATGTATCACACTTGGGGTCTAGCAGGAATGATTACAGAGATATGGGGCATTCAAAATCGAGATTTTTCAATTTTGGGATTTTTTGTGTCGAAACTATTCATTATTGGTCAAAACGGCTCGTACATATACATATTTAAATGAAATATAATAAACAATATGCGATTCAAAATGTGAAGCTTTCTGAAAAACATTTGAAAATATACAATCAAAAGCTCCTATAAAGCATTAGTTAAAAATTAAAAATAAAAAACAACAAGGATAGACAATAATAAAACATTAGGTATAAAGTTCAATTCCCATCACTATTGGTGATTTCTTACAGATTTCAATAATGCTGGTGAAGTATACACTATCTTTATATCGAAAATCAGTCACAAGAAATTTATGAAAATGTGCATGCTCATATTTGAGATTATGCTCTCTTTGTTTGAAATATTTTCGATAATGCAGTGTGTGACCATGTGATGAACAATCGAATTATCGTTGGTTTAGCATTTCAATAGATGCATTTGGCCGGCGTACCTCAGTGCTTCGATGCTTCAACGTCGATTCACGTCGAGGTAACGATCGTGGGTTCGAGTCCCACGAACGCAGACTTTTTCTGATGGCCTAAGAAAGTGTTTGGGATCACACGTTAAAAGGTAAGGCCCCCGTCATTCCTTGCTCGCACAAGGCTTTCGAAGACTTCTGAGGGTTGCTCGTAAGGGGGCAACCGAATGATGGATAGAACAATTTTAGAACAATTTTAAAAATTTTCGATAAAGATCCATGACACATTTTAATAAAAATCATATGCAAATCAGGAGGTCTACTGAAAATTCAGTAGATCTGGCAACCATGCAGCGGACGAAAAGTTAGTGTCGCTGAACGAAATATACTTGCCCATCATCAAACCTTCATGCCTGTTCTCCCCTCCCCCTCTTGCAGATCAATCTGATGACCCAGCTGCCGGAGAACGACAAGACGAAAGAACGTCTCACCGAGATCCTCGAGGAGCGCGACCTCACGTTCCTCTATCCGCTGCTGCGCATCCAGGCCGACCTCGCCAGGCAGCTGCAGGCCGACCCGAATCCGCAGACGTTCTACAAGTGGATCAAGGAGACGCTGGAGCCGGCCAATTTCAACGATGCCGGCTTCATCAACGCCTTGCTGACGGTGCTGCTGAAGTATATTACTCAGGTGAGGATCGACGGGGTGGTGTAACGGTACATCGTATTTTAATGTAGGTATTATACCTATTTTCGGAGAATGAAGGTTTATCGAACTCTTCCACAGGTAATTCTAATCCTTAATGTCTCCCCCCCTCATCCCCCGAATGACTTGAAGTATATTTAATGATGCTCACTCAAAATATGCTATTGAATGAATCATAGATATACAGGGTCACACCGAACTGCACATAAACTTTTCTATTTGAATAGGGACACCCAGTATATTATTCCATATTCAAGTAGAGTTCATTTTTACAAATTCAGCAATGCCGGGTTTGAGGGGATTTTTTCAAATTCCTACGAAGATATGACTAAAAATAAAACGATTCAATAAAAAATGTATATGATTAGATTTTATTAATATACCACGATTGAAATCTAATGAAAAGAAAATATTTAAAACCTCAACTGCTCAATATGTCGTCAATTCTGCTGCAAACATTTCCTAGCTCTTTTGATAACGTTCATCATTGTGCGTTGCGATCAATTTGTGATTTTCTCTTTCATTTCTTCCATATCCACAAATGGCGACTCATAAACCTGTTGTTTCAAGTAAATATAAATCAAGTGGGGTGAGGTCTGGCGACCGAGCTGGCCAGTTGCTAATACCATCGAGACAATTGGTGGTTATTAGATTGTAATTATTCTCCTCATTTCATTTCAATCATGTTATATCGATAAAATCTAGTCCAATGGATTTTTTATTGAATAGTTTTATTTTTTGCCATATCTTCGTAGTCGTTTGAAAAAATCCCATCAAACCCGGCATTGTTGAATTTGTAATAATAAACTCTACTTGAATATGGAATAATATACTGGGTGTCCCTATTCAAATAAGAAAGTTGAGGTGCACTCAGGTGTGACCCTGTATATCTACGATTTATTCAGTAGCATATTTAGAGTGATCATCATCAAATATACTGGGTGACCAAATTTCAAGTCATTCGATCGCGCGGTTGACTTTTTATAGGGGGGATGGGCATTTTAGCTGGGACACGGTGTATACAGTGTGTCTGTATTATGATCAGATTTTATTCAGAATTAGTCACTTGAGAATTTATAAATATTTCTATCGATTATAATTTCTGCAGGAATCGACGGCGAACAGCAACGGCGACGAGAAGATCCTCATCGAAAAGGAGTCGGCCTGCCTCAAGCGCTACCAACCCATCTTGAACGCCTTCCTGCGCGACAAGTCCTCGCTGCAGCTGGTCGCCCTCTACTCGCTGCAGGCGCACTTCCACTCGCTGGGCTTCCCCAAGGGCCAGCTGCTCAGGTGGTTCGTGGCCCTCTACGAGATGGAGATCATCGACGAGGAGGCGTTCCTGAATTGGAAGGAGGACCTGTCGGACGCGTACGCCGGCAAGGGGTTGGCTTTGTTCCAGGTGAGGTGCTCTTGAAGCTTATGTCACTGTCATAACCTAAGTGGGTGTTTTGTTCTCCCAAGAAGACTTGATCGAAATAACTGCCTATCCTCGGCACACTTGACAAAAGTGGTGTCGCGTCAATTGGACGTGGAAAATTGGACGCACGACTATTGGTCGCAGTCAATTGGACGCGGCGACAATTGGACGCGGCGACAATTGGACACGGCGACAATTGGACGCGGCGACAATTAGACGCGGCGACAATTGGACGCATGCGTGAATGAAAATAATTTTATAATTCCACTGAAATTCATTGTATAAAATATGAAATACTGATGGGCTTATATCCATAATTATAACAAATACCTATGGCCTCGTTTGACAATTATTTTCCTATCTCATATCGTAATATGAATTTACGATACGAATATAGTACAATATTTTAGGTTAGTTAGGTTAGGTTAGGTATTTGTTATATTATAGATATGAGCCCTGCATATTCCATGCAATAAATTCCATTTAAATTATTTTTATTTTCGCATGCGCTCAATTGTCGCCGCGTCCAATTTTCGTCGCGTCCAATTGTCGCCGCGTCCAATTGTCGCCGCGTCCAATTGTCGCCGCGTCCAATTGTCGCCGCGTCCAATTTTCGTGCGTCCAATTGACCACGTCCAATTGACCACGTCCAATTGTCGGTAATCCATATAGAAAAAATATCAAATTTTCACTCATCTTTGGACGTTTCGGGACCGATTCTGCTCCCGTTTTCAACATGAAGAGATTTTTTCAATTGCGAAGTCGTATAATATGTCTTGAAGCTTTTCAGTTTTCAATGACAATTGGTGACGTTGGCAATCAAAGGAGTTACAGGATGTTTTCATTAATTAATCTTGAATTTACCATTTTCATGTTCAGATTTTAGTAGTGAATACCATGTTCTGTCTATATCAACAAACAGGGTCAACCACAACAAAATCAACCATCAATAACGACAAATATAAATATCATACATTCCCGGCATATCTGAAAAAATAAAACGTGTTGGTGATAAATTTCTAGTGAAAACTGTGTTCAAAACTGAAAATACAATGAGATCAATTCTAACTCAAACAAAGCCGAAAAATGAAGAACAATCGTCAAAAAATTGTATTTACAGTATACCTTGTGTTTGTGGAAAGTTTTATACAGGTGAAACCAAGAGACCTCTTTCAGTAAGGACGAAGGAACATAAGTACAATATAAAGAAAAGAAACATCGATAAATCGAAACTAGCTGAACATATCCTTACTGAAGACGGACAACATATGGCAGAGTGGAATAATATTAAAATCATTGGAAAAGAAGATAACAACCAGAAGAGAAAATTCAAGGAATCTGCTTGCATTCTTCTGAACGGAGACAATAGCATTGCTTCTTGTTCAGTTGATATAGACAGAACATGGTATTCACTACTAAAATCTGAACATGAAAATGGTAAATTCAAGATTTAATTAATGAAAACATCCTGTAACTCCTTTGATTGCCAACGTCACCAATTGTCATTGAAAACTGAAAAGCTTCAAGACATATTATACGACTTCGCTATTGAAAAAATCTCTTCATGTTGAAAACGGGAGCAGAATCGGTCCCGAAACGTCCAAAGATAAGTGAAAATTTGATATTTTTTCTATATACCTCTATTTCTCTTCTCCAAAAATTTTTCAATACAAATTGTCACTGACAAGCTAGTGAATTTTTCTTTTAGGCTCTCTGATAGGAAAATTCTTTAAATGCAGTGACTTTTGGGGCAAATCATCTGATTTGTACTTACTACACGTATATTGAAATAATATTCATATTTTTATTTTTTAGAAACGAGGAGAGAAAATCCCAAAAAATTTGAAATAATGAATGTACCACCTCCTCGATTAACCTACAGACAGTATTTATTATGAAGTATTTTCGTCAGTAATATTTAATTTATGTTCTTATTTGTAATCCAATCGCAAATAAATTAGTATCCTTAGATTCGTTAAAATATCCTTTTTTCGGAAAGTGCTTGTCAAAAAATGGTCGTCATTTGAAAAATAATAGGACTAAAACTTCGCGATTGTAATTTTCTGATATCACCTGAGGTCCTTAGATTAGTTTACTTTCGATCAGGGCCACCTAGGTGTAATTTCAAAAGTGACTCCGAAAAAATTAAGTAGGCATAAAAACTTTCGAAAATGTCACGTTCTGATCTAGAATTGTCTCAGAGATCCAAAAATGTTACAATATACAGGGTGTTCCATTTAAAAATTTTGAACCGGAGCCATTTCCGGTGAAACCAGAAGTGACCGGAACGTGAACAATATGTGAAAACTCTCCTCTTCACATACCATTTACCTATACCAAATCTCATTTTGATAGACCTGATGGTCTAGAAGTTATGACTTGTCTAATAGATTCGTTGACACCCGGTAGAGTTAGAGAAAGAATATATAAAAAAATCAGAGTAATGGAAATACCATATTCTCAACTAGTTAGTGAGTCATTTTTTTTTATTATTTTCAGGTAAACGGTTGGCTGACATGGTTACAGAACGCCGAATCCGAGGAAGAAGAAGGAGACGATTGAACCAGATCGCGTCATTCCTCGAAAAATAGAAAAAAGTTGAAAAAAATCATAATTTTAGGTTATTAAAGAATCACAACGCGAGGGGCGAAGGAAAGCTCCTACGCATTTTATTGTATCACTTTTGTAACTCGGTACCATTTTCACATTAAAGAATGAAATTATACATAAATGTAGTGGAAGGATGGATCACATAGTATTGTTTCTCAAATCAACATGTTCATAGAATACTCAATTTCTCTGTCCCAGTCCACTCTACAATATCATCAAATATTGATTTCAAAAACCTCATTTTATTGCAATGAAATCGTAAACTCAAAATGTTTCGAAAACTCGTTTGTGCATTATACAGGGTGATGTAGTTATGGGCGGTATTATACTAGTATATAACTTCCAAGCTGACTGTTGGGTATTATGGGTATCTTTTATATTTTTGATCAATAATTCATTACTCTAGCCACATTATCTTGATTCGTTTATCAATTTTTTGCCATAAGCAATGTTTTCAATGTAGTGGAACATCATTAGAAAAATAAAATGTTTCCTTCATATTAAAAATTGCATGTTGGTAAAATCAGGTCATAATTTAAGCTTGCTGTATTCACATTCAAAATGGCGGCGAAATCAATGATTCTCCAAAATCTGAATCTCAAGACAGAAGGAAGTGAATAAACGTCATTTAGTTACAATTTTATCATATATCTCTTCAATTTACATGGTGTAAACATTTTACTATTAACATTATTATATTTATCATCATAATTATTGATGTTATTGTGATGTGATTACTATTGTTATTATTATCATGAATTCATTCAAAATGCAGTTGAATATTTTTGCAAAGAACATCAAATGAAAATATTTCTTCCTGTAGCCCTTGAATTTTGAAGAAAATTCTAATTATCAGATAAATCCGCTTGTATAAGGCATTGATGATGTGAAAATATACTGGATGATAATCTATTTAGTGATTATGAAACAAGTGACAGTAGCAACAGTGACTTGATGAATAATATTTCAAATTTCAACCACCTCCAGTCATAATAGTGGAAGCAACTGGGCATAGTGATCCATTTGAGAATAATGAAAATGGATTTTAAGAAGAAATATTCAAGAAGTCCATGAAAGAACCAATAAACATTCTCACAAAACATTATTTCAATCTACTGGCATCTAGTGTAGATGAGTCAAAACTTGAAATGATAAACGTAGAAATACTGCAGAAGAATGCAAGAATAATTCTGAAGAGAATAGAATCATTATTGAGACACCACCACTGAAACAGAGCAGTTTTGAAAAATACTCGATACTTCAAATAAATCCTGTACTGTATACAGTCTGTCCAAGATAAGGTTGCACAGCATGGGGATCTCGGAAACGGTAAGAAATACGAAGTCGGTTAAATGGGGAAAAAGTTGCGCATTCGGAGGCTCATACCAACAGCCTTCGAAAATTTTCAAATTTTTTTTTAGTTTTTCAGTTATTTCGAAAAAGGTGAATTTTTGGAAACTCTATTTTTTTTTCTTCGTTATTATTAGACATACAGGAAAACTGAAAATACTTTTTCATAGCAACTATTGATGACGTTTAACGTGGTGATACCGAATTTTCTATGCGACGTTTCGTATTCGTAGAACCATCATCAACTTTTGTTTTTTAAATACGGCCCTGATAATTCTTTCACAGATTCTGAAAGCTTTTTTTATTCTGAACTCAACCATGTATTATACAAGGTGGTTTGAATGTGTTTCGAACTATTTTTAGCCATCATCAATGTTTTTTTCGAAATTCCAAAGGAAAAATGCCATCAGTACCACTTATTTTGAAGGAAAATTAGCCAACAAACTAATACCTCATCAACTAGTTCCGATTGATAGACTTATAGGAATAATTAGTTCGCAAAATTTAATTATGACAAGCCCCTTCGGATTAAAATATGAATACAATTCATAAACAATTCGAAGCGCTGCATTGAATAATTTAGTGGATTTTTTTTCACTTTTCAGTATTGAATAACTAGTCCATCAATGTTTGACACTGAATAATCAGAAATAAGTGAAACTGATGGCATTTTTCCTTTGGAATATCGAAAAAAACATTGATAATGGCTAAAAGTAGTTCGAAACACATTCAAACCACCTTATATAATACATGGTTGAATTCAAAATAAAAAAGCTTTCAGAATCTGTGAAAGAATTATCAGGGCCGTATTCAAAAAACAAAAGTTGATGGTGGTTCTACGAATACGAAACGTCGCATAGAAAAATCGGTATCACCACGTTAAACGTCATCAAAAGTTGCTATGAAAAAGTATTTTCAGTTTTCCTGTATCTCTAATAATAACGGAGAAAAAATAAATAAAATAGAGATTCCAAAAATTCACCTTTTACGAAATAACTGAAAAACTAAAAAATAAATTTGAAAATTTTCGAAGGCTGTTGGTATGAGCCTCCGAATGCGCAACTTTTTCCCCATTTAACCGACTTCGTATCTCCTACCGTTTCCGAGATCCCCATGCTGTGCAACCTTATCTTGGACAAGACTGTATATGGAACAAGTGTTGAGAAATGTACGATTTCATGTTCAATGGTTTTTTCCATTTTTTCGATAATCTTCACTTGACTTTTGAATGAATGAATCCGTTACTTATGGAAACTTCGTGTTATGAACTTCTTCATAATACCATAGATAATACAGCGTGGAGACTTGAACTGGAATAAATTCGCTAGAGGAAAGGGGAATATTTTTCCTAAAAATTCCTGACATACGTCAACGATTTAATGTATTTACGTACCTTGTGCAATCAATATCAAGAATATATTTCTTCAGGGGTAGCTGAAACCACCCTTGACTTGATTTTTTCATATGTAACCCTGTGGCTTGTGCCCCTCATTGGAAAGCTGGTGTGAAGAGGAATCCAGCGTGCTAGCCAAATTTCAGTTCTTCATAGGTTTAAGGGTTGCATAAAATTTAAATATAATTTCAATTCATTTTCAACGTATCAATCAAAAAGTGTGTTGAACATTTGATGGCGATTTTTTGCCACAACTGCTATCTGCTATTGTATTCCAGTGTTTTTATAGAGCCTAAAAAAAAATTCTTTTTTTGTCGAATTCACTATTCAAAAGGAAGTGTTATTGCAAATAGGTGGAAATGCCTTATATCACTATCCCTAGAAGTCGAAATTTTGATGAAAATACGGTGAAAATATATTCAACTTTGAAATTATATTTTGATTTATTGCAACCCCAAACGTACTGGAAACAGAAATATGATCAGTACGCTAGATTCCTCTTTCAACCAGGTTTCCAATGAGGGATCGCTAGCAATAGGGTTGCATTTGAGAAAAGCATGTTGTAGTTGATTCCAGCTACCCCTAAGGGTTATTTACCCCATATTGCTCGTAATGCTCGTCAAATGTAGGTAAATACATTCAAACGTTGACGTGTCTTGCGAATTTTCAGAAAAATCATTCACACCCCCAGTAGAGAATTTGTTCCAGTTGAAGTCTCCACCCTGTATATTACCCTGTATAATGCATTGTGAAATTCCTACTATTCTATTTTTTTTTCGGTAAATTTATTTCTAGAATTGAAGAGATATCCAATACATTATTATTCGAGGAGGGTAAGAAGGTCGGTACTTTGAATTTTGGCAGAGGAAATTGAGTATTTTATTTCAATCTGTGAGCACTTTAGGTTTATTTTTGTCATAGATCAATCAGCAAACTCGCCAAGGGCTCGATATTTCGTCTGTAGGTGCCAGTTCTACGATAACCAGAGGGACTTTTATAGTGGAATTGTAAACTCATTGTTTTTCGCGTGGAAGGTATATAGTTTTTTTTTTTCAGAATAGTTGGAAGTGATGTAGAGTAAAGTAAGTCGCATTGGTGTTTTCGTTCAGGGAAGACGCACGCCACGTTTTTGTTTTTTTTTGTTGGATGACACAATAATTTTTTTCAAGCAGCCCCATTCCAACTAACATAATCTAGACTAATATTTCATAATTCGTCATACAAAACTCCCATAAGGCAATTTGTCATGTTTTTGAGATCAAACAATGTTTTTATGGGGACTAGTAATTTTTTTTAGCATTGTACATACATCTTTAGCTTTTTTCATGAGATTTCGAAGATATCATGCATGGTTTGAATGATGATTCCTAAAGTAGAATCATTTTGAAAAGTGCATAGCGTTGTTGTTTTAAATAATCCAACAACATTATCGTGAATTGAACACACCTTTGCCCTTACCTCTCAGATGACTATGTTCATAAATATTTAAAAATAGCTTTTTATTCCATACTTTTATAAAAAACTTGTGTTCTGACTTTTTTTGTATTTTAGTCGGATTACTGTGTATTTCCCTTCAAGTATTTCTGTTATAAAAAAATTAGATAATTTTTCTTTTCTTATACACTTAGAATACTTAAATGTCACTAATAAAACTAAAACAACTTGTACTGTGAAACTTTTGTGTTTAAATAAACTATTCGATGGTATTTTGCTATCGATATCAATTTTACTTGTTTCTATTATTTTACATCGTTTACCTACACAGGATCTCAAACATCCTTGGAAATTTGTTTGGTAACTCTCATGGTTCTGAATTACAACTTGAACCTAGACAAAATTGTTTCAATAGAAACATACGCTGGAAACATATACAGTATGATGCAAATGTATGGAATAAATTCATTTCAAAACAAGACGACTTCCGAAAAAAATCCAAAAAGTAGAGTTCAGAACTTTTTTATCGATGTATTTTTTCAACTAGACGACCCTTCGATGTTCAATTCTCAGTAGAAGATCTCTGCAAGATTCAGTTAACCAAATGATAATCCATTTTAATTTCAATCTTCTTTTGCAAAATTTTGACTATTGGATAGACGATCAGTAGACCTTTCAAACGAGGTGTCACATGACCCCTGTTTGTATTTAAAAAAACCGTCCATTACGTCATTACTCCAACACCGGTGACGTAACATCTCTCATATGAATGTCATGAGATGAGGTTTCAAAAATTGAAACTCACGTGTTTTTGGAATTTCTTCAAATGTCGCCCATTTCTGAAATAATGAATTTATTCCATACATTTGCATCATACTGTGTATAATTGGGGCAGTGCGAGAGCCATGGCAAGGATTTGTTGTAACATTTGGGCGAAGGGAAAGATCAAGAAATATCACAATAATTTTGTTTGGAGATAATCGCATTTTAACAATGGGCTTATATCACAAAAAAAAATGTATTTTATAATTCGATAGAACTCACCCAAACTAGCTTACCACCGCAAACCGCTTTCTGCTTGCGCTCCCTTCATTATATAAGAAAATATTCACTGAAAAATGAAGCGTTTATGTTATATTTCACAAATTACAGGAGAATATATAGAAATGTCTTAAAAGCAGCCAAACAACAATATTTTGGAAAAAGAATGGACAATTCCACCAATAAATGTAAAGAGAGCTGGGCTATTATCAATAATCTCAGAGGGAAAAATAGTAAACCACCCTTAAATACTACTCTGTCTGCAGATCAAATTAACGATTATTATTGTTCTATCGCTGAAACCATTTCTATGGATATAAGAGCACAAGAGGACCCAATCTCCTACATGAAGAATTTATCTGTGAAAGACTCCTTTTTCTTCTCACCCACTAGTCCTGATGAACTGAAAGAAATATTGAAGGATTTTAAAAATAAACATACTTTTGGATGGGATGAGATCTCAGCTAATGTCTTACTCCATCTACCAGATGATGCTATGACTGTTTTAGCAGAGGCAATCAATAAATCATTTCTGAGTGGGATTTTCCCGAACTGTCTCAAGATAGCCATAATAAGTCCTTTACCTAAGGGAGGAGACTGCGACATAGTATCAAATCTGAGACCAATTTCACTTTTACCAACTCTGGCTAAGTTAGTTGAAAAATTAGTTAAAAAAAGAATGTTCTCATTTTTGCTTCATAATCGCACTCTAAGCACCTACCAGTTCGGTTTTCAAACAGCTAAAAATACAAATGATGCTATGTTTGCTTTATTAGAGGATATATATATCAACATAAACGATGGTGACGCAGTTGCAGCAGTTTTTTGCGACCTTTCAAAAGCATTCGACTGTGTTGATCATGAAATTTTGCTTCAAAAATTAGAAATTTATGGCTTTAGAGATATTACACTAAGATGGTTCCAATCATACCTATCAGAGCGTACTCAAATAGTCTCGCTTAACAAAATAAAGTCCAGGTCTCAGGTAGTGGAGTGTGGGGTCCCTCAAGGATCTGTGCTTGGACCAATCTTATTTTTGATATATATAAATGACCTAGCAAATATCACTATTAGAGGAAAGTTTACTATGTTCGCAGATGACACCACAATAATACAGTGGCATAGCAACAATAATGACGAACTGAGTAACTATGTCGCTGAAGATATATTGGAAGTAAAAAATTGGTGTGATGCGAATAAGTTATCATTCAATATTTCTAAAACATGTATTTTGACGTTCAAGTGCACTCTTAATGATATACTTCTGGAAAACTCAAGAATTTGTACTCAATCCTCGGCTAAGTTTTTAGGGCTCTATGTGGATGACAGTCTCTCATTCAACACCCACATTACAAATTTATGCAGAAAATTATCTTCTGGTTGTTTTGCAGTAAGAGTCATCTCATCTGAATTGAATATATCTGCAGCAAGATCAGTTTATTTTGCCCTGATTGACTCAATTTTGAGATATGGAGTTTGTTTTTGGGGGAATAGTTCTCAATTTCTTTTGAACTCTGTGTTCATTTTACAAAAGAGATACCTTAGTAAAGCTAAATTCAGAGAACCATGTAAACCCTTATTTGTGGCTCAGAAAATACTGACATTGACTTGCATCTTCATTCTAGAGAGTGTATGTATGATCCACAAAAAATATACCACGAACATTCATTCGATGTCGGTATACAACACAAGAAATGTTGACTGTACGGTTTCCCTACTAATTCCTAGAAGTACATTAATAAAAAAGTCTTTTATTTATAATGCCAAAAAAATGTTTAATCACCTGCCTTCGCATATTCGTTCATTGCTAACACATATTAAGTTTAGAAAGGCAGTAAAAGAGCTACTACTGAATAAAGCCTATTATACCTTGCAAGAATTTTATGAAGACGCATTTAATTAAGTTTGTCAGTTTGTATAATTCGTTTTTAATTGTTCAATACCTTTTTTTATAGTGTGACTTTTACTAGTATATGTTCGACTTAAATGTTTTGTTCCTTATATATGTGCATATTTTACATGATTTTATGTAGTTTTAATATTAGTTATAGCTTATGATACACATGCTTTGTCAACAAAAACTTTAGGTTTTTAGTACAATAAAGACTTTCTTCTTCTTCTTCTTCTTCTTCTTGCTGTGAGCTCCCTACGTTTTATAAAAAATTATTGAAATCCCCGATTTTTCGGACCTCTGAAAACGAGGCGATGATGTGACGTCAAAACCCTAATACTGAAACAAGACTATTCCAGACATGCAGAGATGAATGATACATGATTTCTGACAGAGTGAATTAGCGCGAGATCACAGTTCAAAGAATTAATTTATCTGTTGCCCCAGTCTCCGTCGGGCGTTTGATATTTTCTTTCAACTATTGCGAGATGAGGTTTCTACGTCATAAGAGGGTCCGTTTTCAGAAGGTACTATTATTTATGTCCAAAAATAAAACATTCCAGTTAAATTTTTGATCGAATTATGTCGTCAATCATTATTTATGTATAAAAGGATCTTTATAAACATGGTTTGAGTTAAAAGTTCTACTAAGGTGTACACGCCCAACACACACATTAAAAGGTAAGACCCCTGTCATTCCTTGCTCGCGCAAGTCTCTTGAAGACTTCTGAGGGTTGCTCGTAAGGGGGCAACCGAATGAATGATGACAATATAATCTATGAATTTGAAATAATGGATCCATTCGTTATGCAGAAAAAGAATGTAAATTCATACAAGAACATATTTATTTGGAAAAGAAGGAATGCCACACACAATGTGAAGGGAAACAACAATAGTTACTCAAAATTATCATTGATGGAATTATGTGGAGTAAATCTGTGCTTCAGGTCCACAAAATCTCTCTAGAGTCATTGTATTTTTCTGCTGGAATTGGCAATAAATCTAGAATAAAAATTCAGAATGAGTAAAAAATCGTTACTTAGGATTAAATTTGAATTCATTGTCAGAGAATCCAATTAATCCATGACGAAAGACATGATAAGTATTGATAAAGAATGTTGATTTCAAAAAAAAAAAACTCTTCTGATGCGGACGTGACTGCATGTGTATCTCATGTGTATATATGACTATCATAGGATAGTTATTTTTCCACTCTTACCAATACTTCCGAATTTTATCATTCGAATATTATTTTGTCAAGTGAATGCTGTAACCAATTCCTTGAAATATTCTGATTAGGTCCAAAAATCTGCAAATCGCATTGTTTGATGGCCTTTTTTGTTGGATTTGACCTTCTTGGAGACATCGGCTAACAAATTCTTCATATTTCATGGACGTAATGTAGAAATGGGTGAATAATCGCACTTCTGATATAAGATTCTGAATGGAGGCATCGTAGATAAACACAATTTCAACACTCAAACACTTTCTTATTCACTCAGGTCGGCTTGTACAACGATGACCGATAATAAAAATACAACATCGACAAGTGATTCGTTCTGATGCTACGATGCTAATGACTAAACCTGCTTCAATCACATGATGTTTTAGAATACCGATGAGTCGTCAGGACTGCTTGTGATAAGGAATTCCTTAGGCGTTCTTCTCAATTATGGGGTGATTTGAACATCATGGCTAACAGTTTTTTTATGAATAATAATATAATGAAACATGACTACATTTTGATATTCTACAAGAGCTGCATATCCAAATGGGTGTCCTTGCATTTGTGTTAATAAACTATAACCAAACTAAATAAGATCCTCATATTTTATGCATAGATTCTTCATGTTGAAATATTTAGGAAATTGATGATGTTTTCAGCAAATTGAAGCAAAATAATATTTTGGCAAACCAGCTTAGTGTTCACTGGATCATTCAAATTGATATCATTTTTGTTTGATTCCACATGTCCTTTCAACCCTCACTATACATTTGGTGTTGCTGCTTTTGTAATGTGATGAAGCAAATTATTGTAATATGCATCCTTGTCTTTTGCAAGTTTCTCCAGAAATGTCTATAGCCCTGTGAATAAAACTAGTTGATGTAATAATCATAATCATAATATTTATTAAATAGTTGTAGATCAATACAAAAATAAATAATAAATTAGTTATTTAACTGGTTTCATTTGCCAAAGACCATCATTCAAATAGTGACAGTTTTCCACTCCTATGCCTTTATTGACTCTTGCACTGGAAAATTCAAAGAAACACTTATCACTGGCCATTGATATAGTATATTACAAGGTTCAAAAAGTTTATCAAATTGAGCTTGAGCCAAAGCACAACATGATATAGTAGAGCAAGTGTTTGAGATAGAAGTGTAGATTTCAATGTGTTAATCAAGTATTCAACCAGTTTTTCTGTCCAGTTGGACACTTGATTACATATTGTTTGTATATGGACATCATACTATTTTCTAGTAATTCTGACTCACATTTCTTCAGTTGATAAAGTGGTCCTACCAATAGCTAGAGCTTGATCTTTTCCTTCAGCCATAATTGCCTAAAAAGAATTTTGAACTAATCAATGTTAAGGAAGCTTATGGTACATGAAACATAGTATTATTTTGAAAAATGTAAATAACTTGGTGATAAATATATAAAGAATCAAATATGTATCAGAACAATGCTTGCCACTATTGAATCTTTTGGTACTTCAGTCATTTTAGCTCCTGGTGAAGTCAAACCTGGACACATAATATTTGCACCACTTAGTACAAATCTAATAGCACCTTTGTCAACTTGCTGCATAGGCAGAAAGAATGGATCTTAAAAATTAGTATTATCCAAAAAATCTATACATTTGCATTTTCTTACATTTGTGATATAACCTCAGTGTAGGCATCCACTGACTTTCTCTATGCCGAAAAAACATCAATTCTCCATTGGTATTTACTATTATTTCTATGTGGTCATGACTGAAAGGAACATCATGGGGTTAACACATTTACATTATCTCAAATTATATGGAATCCTCACCATTTTATGATACGAAGAGAATCTTTCTTAGGCAACACATTGTCTATATAGTTTTCCAAATGAGGATATGACTCAATAAGCTTGGATCTTATAGCTTTTTGAACTGAAGATTTCAGCTGCAGTACACCAGATATACTTTCTTTTTCATCAAATCTGAATATGTAAATATAGAAATCAAATTGTTCTTCAAGACAAAGTTTAGAAATACGTACTTTTTAAACATTTTGTAGTTTATTTCTGCACGATCTTCAGACAGGAAAATTTTAATTTCAAGTCTGTTTTCAGTTCATCAGCAAGTTCAGCAACGAAGACGATTAGTGAGGTTATCGTTATATGTCCGTGTGACATTGACATTTGGCAGATGTCAGGTGATATTTCAATTGTCATATATCCGTTCTCTGTTAACAACAAAGATGGAGAAATTTGTAATATGGGTTGCGTGTATTCAGGGGTACAAAGCATCTTTTCCAAATTTCCTGCGGTGCTGGTTATCTCATTCTCGTTGGCAAATGGAATCGATTCCTGCTCCTCCTGCTGTTCGAAATCGAGAACAGCAGACCGGGCGACGGTCGACAGACCATTCCTGCTGATATCATCATATAGTTATAGACTGCTGTGCGAGAGTGACGGAACAAAAGTGATACGATTGATAAGTGCCGCGAGAAAAAAATCACGGTTCAATTAATCGGGATAATATAATAACTAATAAACTATTATAATCCTAGTTTTACATGTGCCATATACGATGAAAACATGACATCGACGACTACCACCATTAGAAAATCGTACGGCAACAGACGGCTCTACACTTTTCCTGAAGATTATCCTATGAGATTGCCAAAACAGAAGAGCAACGTCGGTTTGCCTAAGAAAAATGAAGATGTTGCGAAGCTGATCAAGTACATTGATGATAACGTTGTGGGCAAAAATAATGCCTTTTTGGGTCCATTTGGACGCAGGAAAGGTGAGCGGTTTTTAAACATTTTCGAATTGCATGCAAGGTTGCATAATATGAAAGTTTGACCGATTCCATTATTGAAAACATAACTTTTGAATTTTTCTCTATTCCTTTCGCTCTATTCTATCTCGAAATTGTATAGGAATAATAGATTTTTGGACCGTACATATTATATTAAACTTCATCAGACAAATATCAAAAATACTCTTATCCTAAAATAAAATTCTCTGATGTGACTTGATTGATCGTGGATTGAACCGTTGATTGATTACAATTATGCACTTTACATTGAAATAAGAAAATATGTGAAATGTCTGAGACCTGCAGAGACCTTGGCTGAGACTCCAAGAAATTTTCAACAAACTAATTTCCAAATAATTCCATAGAAATCATATTTAATGTATACATATACTGGGTGATTTTGAAATACCTACCTAGGTTCGAATACAAAATAGGAAGTATTGAACATATGACCAATGTGATAGGGTGTGAGATATAGGTACCTACAACAAATATATACAACTAGTCCAACGATCGAATTTCGAATATCGAATATTCCCAAAATATCGAGCAAAATATAGTAGATTATCGAGTAGGTTATCGATAATAAGGCTGGTTCTGAGCTGGTTCCTTTTAGCATTCTGAATACCGAGTAATTTTATCTTGAGAATTGTACAAATAATGCATACCAATATTAACACAAAAAAATACATTTGAAATTAATAATTATTAGACTACATTCAGGTCAAGGTCACGTAATGTATTATGTGAATCATGAATCATGTGATACTAGAAACTTCCGGTTACCGAACACTAAATATTACCTATATGGCGAGTTAGGTATGGCGAGCACCAGCTAATCTAAATACCTACACGTGTCTAAATACTACGATGGAAAAATACATATCGTACTCATCATATACGTATATATATATACCCGATATATAACTATATACACCAATCTGAATTATTATCAATGTATATAATATGTGGGAATCTCGGTGGGTATGCACCGTATAAACAATAAATCCAATAATTATTATACAGGGTGTTCCATAAGTAATAGATCAAAAGAAGTGGGGTGGTAGGATGGGTCATATGTAAGCAGACTAACGGTATATTATGTTGTTATCAAATTGTTGATGGTTCGAAAGTTATTCAATTTTTCTAAAAAATGCGGCACATTTAAAAAAAAAGGCTGTTTTGAATAACCCCATATTATTATGTTATACCATTTCGGAATCTGTATTGAATGGGCAACTTTTTCTTATGATTGGTTATCTTTGTAGGGTGGTTTTTGAATCTGCCAGCGGCATTTAAAAATCGACTTAAATATTTCATTCCATGACAAAACGCAAGGAAAACAACATTTTTCTCAGGTAATTGATAAGAATAAGTAATACAAGTCATAAAATTATTTCTGTAAATATGTATAAAATAGAGCCAGATCGCCAACTTTTCTACCGTGTTCCTGAGAAGTGAGTGAGTTTGTGAGCGAGGCATCACCCACGAGACGAATTGCCCTTTTTTGGACAGAATCCAACAGTTTCAGGGTATGTTTGGATGCTGCACTCCGAATATGGAAACAGTATTCCAGGACAGGTCGGATCTGTGCCTTATAGGATGGGATGCACTTTAAGCAATTGCTCGAGCAATTGATCTCACGTGATTTTCCCAAGAAAGGTTATTGCTGACTCCTGACTCCTATATTTAATTTTAAATTTTTCGGAGCACAGGAAACAAAAAAAAAACTATTATGAATGCTCGGAGAACGTCGTGGATACCTATATATAGGGATAATAAAACTCCTCATTGCACATACCTAATTTATATCTTCCTTCTCTTGCTCATGTGCATTGATAAAATTTCTTTCTGTCTCTGAAGAAACACCTAAGACGACTTCCTTTCAAGGCAGACCTCAAAATCTACTCTACTTATTTTACTACTACACTACCAACGAGACTATATATTACTACTAGTACTCACTACTTGATTCACTGTCTTTGTTTAATTTGTTTTACCTAGAATTTCTTCGATTTATAAAGATCAACCGTTAGATCGACTCACTTTTTTGTCTACGACTGGGTCTACGATATAAATTCGAATATACAGGACAGGACTCAGAATATGGGTCCAAAATGGGTTAATGTAATATACTCTCTGGCTTTTAAAGTTTTCCTAATATTTTTTATTATGTGATCGAAGAAACCACTCGTAAATCCATTGAAAAATCGTGGAATTTTACAAGATTATTGTTATTATGATTTTTGGAGGTAGATTATTATCAGTATTAGTCGAGGTATTAGTGAATAAGATGATAAACAAAAAATGAGATAATAGTAATTATAGGTACAGGATGTGAATGAAATAGTGCTTTATATCTGTCGATATCTGCTATAGTATCGCGACAAGAGAAAGGAAACATTTCAGAAAACAAGTTTATGAAAATAATTCCATGCCCGTATTATTATAAAATCTTCTCAAATTTCCCATTTGCTTGATCCTGAAAATTAGATCACCCTGCAAAAACCTTGGTCATTCAAAGACAGAAACATAATTTTATATTTAGCCAAATATAAATAGTTTTTTTCACAAAAATGCAGAAGGATACATATCGGATACATATACATCACACTTGATACATCACAAGTATTGTCTCGATTTGTATCTGGACTTCTTTTTGAATAATGAAATTGAAGATAAAATCTAAAAATAGAGTCATAAAATAATTTCAAAATACATGATCCGCCACGTGGAGATAATAATAATTAGCTATATGTATATAGGTATTCTATTCGACGATAGCTTAATTTTAGATAAAATCTCCTGGAGTGGATAATTTATTACTGGAATAGATTATTTTGATATTCTATTACAATAATTTTGTTGAAAATTTAAAAGATTGCGATTGAGTACCCCAGTGTTCGGAATTAATTCGGAGCAATTGTTTTTTATAGATTTTGATATTATGATTTTGTGGATATTCATGGTGCTTGGTATTTCATAGTCATATAAGATATAAGCACTCTGATGCATGAGTATGAAGAAAAATAAAAGTTAATCTGTGATAAAAGTCACATAAAAGTATACAATCTAGTAGGTAACTTACGAGGTAACTTACCTATCTCTCAAAATTGATAAGACTTAGGCGTTTATTCAAAATCATTGCTTCGCTATAACATTAATGTGGTTCCATGAAAATATGTAAACTTCATCGAACTTGATTCAGTAATTATTATATAATTTCTTATACTTTCTAAAACGATTCCTTTGGACCTTATTATGGAATTTAAATAAATGGTGAAGGCTCTCAACGTTTATTTTGGTGTAAAGTCTTCGTGTGGTCACCAAATGTTTGCAAATGTCTTCGCAGATTTTGTAATAGGTACAAAATTCTGTTTTTTGTATGATATCTCTAACACCATATACTCATCACAAAAATATTATGAACAATTAACCAGTAGAAACGAGCAAGAATTCAATAATTCTAAAGGACATCGAATGAGCATTTTATTTTTAAATTGAATGAAACTGAATACTAAAGCACCTTTGAAACCAAAATGAATGAATATTGAAAGTATTCAAGAGGGCCAGAACTTTGATAATGAATATGATGATTGAGAAATGTACTGGAATCTTGTCAGTAGCGAACAGTTATTTATCAACACTACTCAGTTTACCCACAGAATCTATCAACAATATTGAAATATTTGAGATTTTAGACTTTAATGCTTGATAATGGGTGTCCCCTCGGGTGTCCCCTGTTCGCTTATCTGAACGAGATTGAAAAATAAATGAATAGGTAACTATTTTTCCAATTGGTATTCCAATACCCTCCACTAAAACTTAATTTATACAGGGTGAATCTGAGAGTGAGATTTTCTACTTAACAGGGTATATATATCTCGCCCAAATAAGTTGTTTGGTCAAAATAGATTTAGGTAAAATATGTAAGATGCCTGGGGTACCAGGCATTTCAAGGTTTTGTACATTGGAAATCTAATTTATTAATCTAAGATTCATTAGATGAATTATGACGAACAATTCACTTTAAAACTAAAATTGATAAGTTGAAAATGTAAGAAGAGGTTTTTGATTAATTTTTCTAATGAAATAATGCAACTGTAGGGTATCTAATGCTGGACTGCTGCTTTTTTGTGTTTTTTTTTGAGAAAATGTAAACGAAAAGTTTCATAGTTGAAGTCTTATTTGAACTTTTATATACCTGTACCTCCATTATCTTAAATATTTCCTCGAATATTTCATATGAGCAAGTTTTTGCCGAACATTTTATTTTGGTGAGATATATCCTGTTAAAGAAAACCTCACTTTCAGATTCACCCTGTATACGTTCACCCTCGCATAAA